AGAAAGCCAGGGAGAGAGCCCATGCTAGCACCCTGGTGGCTAGACTTCTAGCTTTCAGAACTGTGAGAAAAATTTCTGTTGTTTAAGCCACTCAGGCGATGATATTTTTACGTCAGCCTGAGCTAAGACAAGGAGTCTGAAAGATGTGATTATAAAACACAATACTGAAGACTATGACTCCAAAATACAATAAAACCTCTCAGAAAAGCTCTTTGATTCTTATGTGTTCATTTTTGCCAACCACAGAATACTTAAAACAATTTTCTTGGGCTGTGTAAGCCGGTGCCTTGACCCTCTCTGACTTGACTGTGTAACAATCTGAAGGAAAGGTTGCGAAGCGGCTGCTACTGCTGCTGCTGAGTCACTTCAGCCGTGTCCGACTCTGTGCGACCCCATCCCTGGGATTCTCCAGGCAAGAACACTGGAGTGGGTTGCCATTTCCTTCTCCAATGCATAAAAGTGAAAAGTGAAAGTGAAGTCGCTCAGTCATGTCTGAGTCTTCGCGACCCCATGGCCTGCAGCCTACCAGGCTCCTCCGTCCATGGGATTTTCCAGGTGAGAGTACTGGGCTGGGGTGCCATTGCCTTCTCCGTGCGAAGGCGCAGCTTTCCCCAAACCTGACCTCGCTGCTGCCTGTGACTGGCTTTCTCCCAGAAGCCTTCCCTTGCTGCCCCTACTTCAGGCTTGACTGGGGAAAGGTTATTTTTCTTTTCTGAGTAGAACATGTATCTTTGCTCCCAGGCTCTGGCTATTGCTAGTGTCTCATTCTTCCTGCTTCTACTTCACCATATATTAATGTTTCTTGTCCTCTTATTTTTTTAATTTTTAAGAAAATAAATGTGTTTTGAGGCCACATACCTTAAATTTTTTTCTCCTTCTGGTTTTATGGATATATAATTGATATAGAGCACTGTATAAGATTAAGGAGTACAACACAACAATTTGGCTCACATATGCATCATGAAATAATTACCACACTGTTTAGTGAATATCCATCATCTCATATAGATGCAAAATTAAAAAATCTTAGGATTTACTCTCTTTACAATTTCCATATATAACACACAGAAGTATTACTTGTATTAATTATGCTGTACATTGAGCAGTTATTTATCATATAACTTCCAGTAATAAGACTATTTACTTTTTCATGTTTTAAAATTATATTTATTTATTAATGGCTGCGCTGGGTCTGCGTTGCCATGTGTGGGCTTTCTCTAGCTGTGACGAGCAGGGGCTACTCTCTAGTTGTTATGCGAAGGCTTCTCATTGCAGTGGCTTCTATTGCAGAGAACAGACTCTGGGGCACACCAGTTATAGTAGTTGCAGTTTGTGAGTTTCAGCAGTTGTGGCACATGGACTTAGCTGCCACATGGGCATGGAACTTAGACCAGGGATCAAACCCCTGTCCCCTTCATTGGCAGGTGGATTCTTAACCAATGGACCACCAGGGAAGTTCCATTTATCTTTACTTAATTACATCTGTCCTCCATGAAAATGACTGTTTCCTCTATTTTTATTTTGGAAAGTTCTGGTAAAGATTTTAATTTCATTTTGTAGTTTATATTTAACAGTTTATCACTTGTACATCTTGGGCAAATCAATTTATATTTGAGCCCATCCTTCTTCTTTCCTAGGAGGGAAAAAAATATCTGCTATATTACTTCATAAGCTGTTGTCAGAATCAACAGAAAGAATCATATACATCAGAGTTTGTGCAAATGCTGCTTGTTACATTGTTAGTTGGAAAATATCTGTCTGCATTTAGCTCAGCCAGGTTGGTCACATAGTTGATGAGTGAGTGAGTGAGTGAAAGTTGCTCAGTTGTGTCCGACTCTTCAGCCTCATGGATATACAGACCATGGTATTCTCCAGGTCTGAATACTGGAGTAGATAGCTTTTCCCTTCTCCAGGGGATATTCCCAACCCAGGGATTTAACCCAGGTCTCCGGCATTGCAGGGGGATTATTTACCGTCTGAGCTATCAGGAAAGCCCTACACAGCTGATACACAACACCAAAGTAGAGTGTAGATTAATTAGTCTTTGGTGCTTATTTATATTTTTAGGGTATTTCTTGACCAATATGTGCAAAACAAGTTTGGCTTGGGAGAGAATTTTAATAGTATGTATGAGAGGCAGAGGAGAAAATGATTATAACACAGATCTATATGTCAGTGCTTATAATCTCTAATGATATCCTGGAAACTTGTATTTATCAAATTTCTCTTTTGACAAATGCTTTTTTTTTTTTATCATGTCCTACAAGTTTTTTGCTTGAGAGAAAGAATAGTAGGTAATTTTGTGGAAAGTAAAGCTGGCCATTTTTTCTTTTTTTGGCATGCAGTAAGATTTCAACTGAGACAAAAAAGGAAATGGAATAGCTTTCCTGCTTTTAAAACTCTAATTGAAGGCCTTATTCCTAAACTCTCTCCATTCTGGTTGTATGTGTGTCTGTGTGTGTAAATTGGCATGGTTAGGTAACACAGTGAGTGTGAAAAGAGGTGAGAAGAGATACAGTAACAGAAATAAAGAATCAAAAGATGTAAGGGAGATATTGGACTATTTATACTATTAAAGGCACCCAAAAATTTTGCTTTTTCTTCCCTTCTCAAATTCCCACTTGATAAATTGTTTTTTCCTAAGGAATTCATGATAGTCTTAGACCGAAGCCATTTTGAAGTAACTTCCCTCCTAGCTCTAAATGTGTGGTAAATCTGCTTTTATCCTGTTTTTCATAATAATAACAGTTGTTGCATGCCCAAATGATGGAATGGATATTTGCTTATATCTATAGAGACATAAGGGCTCAGTAGTAAAGAGTCTACTTACAATGCAAGAGACTGCCTACAATGCAGGAGACGTAGGTTTGATCCCTGGGTCAGGAAGATCCCCTGGAAAAGGAAATGGCAACCCACTCCACTATTCTTGCCTGGGAATTCCCGTGGACAGAGGAGCCTGGCAGGCGACATTCCATGTGGTCACAAGAGTCAAATCACCACCACCATAGAGATATAAATTCAACAAAATAAAGTTCTGGGTGATAAAAAGTGTGACACTGCTTTGGGAAATATGAAAAATATTATTAATAATATAAACACCTAAAGAGTAGCAAATGCTAGGAAACAGGTGGTGAAATTAACTATAAATAATATAGCAGATAAAAATGATGATCTGTCTGCTCATGCTAAGACATCATGCTACAGAACAAAGAGTTTTGGTTAAGATGCCTGTAATTTGATTATTCTCTCTTTAACATAAGTTATTTTGTATTGCCAATTTTTTCTTAGAAGTTAATAGAACTGTAAGAAAACATTACTGACTTCTTACTTAGGTTACCAGCCAATTTTAATCTATAGGAGCTTCTAGGTCAAATTTTAACAAAATCAGTCTTTACTGAAGTGTTTAAAAACATAAACATTTATTCCAATCCAGATATAATTTTAAAATGTGACTTGATCTAATTGAACACTTGTATTTCTTAAAAATTTACCAGACTTTGATGTAGAGGTGTTCTTGATCTAAACTGAGGTTTTTGAGGTGCAGAGTATAAAATGGTGTGTTGATCGCCGATGACAATATTTACAGTTCCTAAAATGCAGACATTTCTTCACCATTTAGTGAGATATGCTTAATTCTATTTCTTGTCCCGTATCTGGTCCTGGAATATATCAGAACTGTGGAGATGTGTTATTTTAGGGATATCATCCCCAAGCCTGAGCATGCACAAACTGTAGTTGCTTTTTGAGTCTCTAAAAAAACGATGGTAGTGTGGTAAACACAGAGGCAGTCCTTACTACCACCGTTCCTCTATGACACGCGATACCAGTCACTTCATAGCCTCCAGTCTGGGAAAGCATGAGATTAGAGAGGTAAAAAAGAGGTCCTGTTGTACTACAAAAACAAAAATGGCATCTTTCCATACTAACTACCCCTCTGAACATTACACATTGACTCTATCACAGCCTGCTAAAGTAGAAAGGGAAAATGAGAGAAATCCTCAGTCATTTTAAAGTGCATTTGTTTCATTGAAGCCTTTCAAGTTTTTTGTGTGGTGTGTGTGTGAAAGAGACTGACTCAGGTCTTCCTTGATGTAGCAAGTACACTGAAAATATAAAAAGAAGTTTGATAAGTTTGATTTTTCTTCATGCACACCTTTGTGTCTGACTTTTGAAAGGACTTTAGACACAGTTTCCAAGAAATGATAGTTTCTGAGTCCTCTACAATGCCTTCATGGTGGATTGATTTCCACAGAGGTCTCCTATATAACCAACCGTTAAGAGAGAGAATGTAATCTGCCTTCCCTGTTTGGGCAGAGTGAACTGGATGGAGAACAGAGTTAGAATCGGTTTCAGTTTGATGAGTTGATGAGTTGAGTGATGTTTGGTTTCCAGGAACTTCAGGAGATTGGCTAGATAGACAATATTACATAACAGTAATTATAATAGTTACCACACTATCTAGTTGAGAGGATTACTTGAACTCACAAATGACTTCTCTATAGACAGCAAAGGGAATGCAAACGTGAGCCACAATTTAAGCGTCTGAATGCTAGATACAGCACTGGAGTTACAAAAAAGTGGGGGAAAAAGTCAATCTAGTGATGTCATTCTCTGAGCCCAGGCTTTCAAATTCTTTGGCACCTGGAGGGGTGTGTTCCTCACACTCGGCAAAGCCTCGGCAACCTGACTTGGCACAATGGCGCCCTTAGGCTCTCGGCTCATTCAAGCAGCGGGGGACTTTTCATTCCTCCTCTAAACCATGGGCGATTTTCTCCCAGTTCTTGCCAGAGACCTAACCAAGCCTCTTCTCCCAAGGCCTCACCCAGGGAAACAGACGCGTTACCACAATTACTCCACGATCTCTACACGCACCACGGGTGCGGAGGTGGGGAGGGAGGCGTGGCTTGACTTTTATAGGCCTTTCCAGCCAATGAACAAGCTGCTTTTCTTCCGGTCGGCAAGCCGACCAATCTGAGCAAGTCGGTGTAACCTTCGGCTGTACTCGGCTCTTTTCGCTGATGCGGGCAGCTCAAGGGGCGGCCGCCGCTGGAGAGACGCTTCCCTTTTTTATTTATTTTTTTTTCCCCAAGCGTTCACTTCCGGGTCCGGCGCCGATCCGGATGCCCGAGGCAGAAGGATGTTTGACCTCCGGATAAGCGAGGAGGCGCCGCTGTGCATTCATTGCCGGCTGCATCGGTGGCGACAGCAGCGGCCCGGGCGGCGACTCTCCGGCCAGAGGCGGCGGTAGGACGCACCGGCAGCAGTGAGGGGACCGAGTCCGAGCCGAGCTGCGTTACCTCCCTCGCTCGTTCCTTCCCCCTCTACCTCGCTCGCTCCCTCCCTGCGTGGCTCGCTTTCCTCCTCCGGCCGCCGGCGGGAGCAATGTGCCGCCGCTGCCCCCGCCGCCACTGACTGACGGACCGGGGGGCGCCGCCCGCGCCCGGGCCCGACCCACCGCTGGCGGCCGCGCCTCTGAGGTAAAGCCCCCTCTGCGTTGGCGCCTGGCTGGGCGGCCCCGGCCCGCCGGCATCTTCGGCGCGGTCGCAGAAGTTGCCCGAGTTGGGCGGCGCGAGTGGGGACCGCGGGGAGGTGGGCGAGGTGGGCAAACGCAGGGGCTTTTGGGGGGAGGGTTGGGAGGTCGGGAGTGCAGCCCCCCAGCGCTCCTCGGTTTTGTCCAGACAGTTCCCTTCGGAGTAGGGATTTTAGGCAAGAGGGTGGGAGCTATCGGTCGGCTGGAGGGAGGGGTCGGGCTAGCATTCATTTCGGGGAGAAACTTCCCGATGGGGTATTTGTTTCCAGGTTGCGGGGGGAGGGGGCAGGGATTTACCTATTTGTTAGAGCTTTTGACTTAGCTCAAAACTTACCCAAGGCATTAGTCGGGCAAACAAAATTACTCTGATGGTTACTGTTAGGCTGCTGGTTTGTTTGTTTATTCTACTTGCTAGGGGAAGTGACACAGAAGCGTCGGCTCTCTTGGTCCACAGCCCCCACGTTTCTTTTCTGCGGGGTGGTGATGGAGATGTGTGTGTGCTTCTGGGGTGGGGGTAGTTAGGCCTTGTTAGGATGGTTCCAGTTCTCCCAGGGAAGGAGGAAAAGTTAATGGGTGGGAGAGAGTGTGTGTGGGAGATGGCTACTGTTGCTGCCATTGTGCGAATTAGTTTTAACTCTGTTGTAATGAGTGCCTAGGCTGGTCAGCAAGTGACCCTTTTTTAACCTTTGGTTTTAGAACATCGACTTTAATTGGACAATTAACAACCTACTGATTTTTAGTAAGTTAAGAAAAAGTCAGTACTTAATATCTTTTACGTTTGCAGTTACTTCTTGTGATAGGAATGACATTGGCCCACACAGAGAGTAAAAGAGGTTACTTAGAATACTTTTTAAAATTAAAAATATCTAGCTAGTAAAGCCATGTGTATGTTTTTGAAGAATATTTGCTTTCCTTATAAATAAGCATATTGTGAAAGAAAAGTATCACAAAACTTGCAAGATATGAGGCCAGTGTCAGAAAACACCTCCCACCAAAAATCAGATCTGGTTTGTGACATTCTTAGTAACTTTTTGGGGGGAGGGAAGTGGAGAGATGTACTTAGTGTATTTTATAATTATTCCCAAACTTTTGTTTTAACTGTATTCTGAGCTAAGATAAATTATCTTCATATTTTATATACATTAACCATATAGTTTGTACAAAACATGAAAATCATATTTATGGGAATTGGAAGAAAGGTGTAATAAAATATACGGCATAGCTTTGGTATAGATTCAGAGCAGAGTGTATAGACACTTTGGTATTCAGGGAGCTTCCTTTTCTGGATATGCCTCAGGTGTAAGTAGTTCTTAGAATGGGGAACAGAAAGTTTAACTTTAACGTTGATGTGTATGAGACTTTTGGCGGAATCTTGGAAAATGATTTTTTTTTTTTTTACTGATGATTTAGTATGCTCATTGACCAAGGGGTCGTTAACTGAAAAATTAATGAATTATATAATTATTGACATTTTCATTGTTAGATTTGTAAGCATTAACTAATAACAAAATCTTCAGCACATGAAATGCATTTATTACTTCAAATAAAAGAACTAGGATTCAAACAAAGGAATGGTTTAGTTCAAACTGAAACTTTACTTTGTGCAAGGGACTTTTACTGTGTGTTGAGGATGAAAGAGTGGGTAGACACATGAAGAGGAATCAGATCCTGTTAGTTACCTTTAAGGGAGAAGCAGACAGGCACAGAAATAATTGCAACACAGGACTCCTGTGGGGCTTATTAGAGATGTACGGAAGTGTGGGGGTGGTGGTGATGGTGTGTGTGTGAGAGAGAGACTAATTTTTGACTGGGAATTACAAACGAGTTTAAAGCTGGTAATACTCCATTTAGGCCTTAAAATATTTTAATGGTCAAAATGGTTCTGTATGTGTAGAGGTGGTATTTTTGTAGGTGAAGGGAGCAGTTGAGCAGGGACATGTTTTGGTATGGTGGGGCATGTTGAACTGGAGGTAAGGCTGCTGGGCCAGGAGGTTTTTATGGGAAGTGAAGCTATAAAATTAGGTGGTGATCAGTCCATGGACATCAAGAATGCCTTGTATTTACAAATGAGTCAGTTCACCATATGAAGATCTAAGTGTATAGATTCTAAGGTGATAGGGAGTACCTATGAAAATAAGGCTAGTAAGTTTAAAGGAAACAAAGTATAACAGAATAGTCAATTTGTTATCATTCATGCCTATAGAGGAGATCCAGAAGAGTATATGAAACAGTTTATACATGGCTTTGTCATATTTCTTTACTTGCTTTTGGATATGAGTGTGTGGTAATCTGGCAGTTGGTTATATGAAATAGATCTAGATTTTTAAACATGTGACTTGGAAGAAAGTGGGAATCTTTGCATTTCTTCTCTGGGTCCCCTCTGTAATCGCCTTCATGCTGGTAATAGACCATTATTCTGGCATGGTTTTTTGGTTCATATTTTTTTTCAGAATGGAACAAGTGGTGGTTTAGTTTCCAAGAGCTTTCTAAAAGAATATATCAGACTAAATAGAGGGAGTGCGAAAATAATAAACAATAAAATACAGATCTTTGGATAGTTATATTATTGTTAATACATTTTAAGGTGAGATTTGCTATGGATGAAGTGAAATGTGAGGAATCTACATAGGATGAGAATTGACTATAATAGTAAGATGACAACATGAGAAAATTCCACAGTTCCGGATAAATATGTGCAAGGTTTTTAGTCATCTTAAGTAGCAACAACTCTAAAAAAAATTTAACCCCCAATTTAATCATTATCAAAGGAGTGCTTAAAAAATATCACCCTTATGACACCAGTGTTTAATCATCTAGTCATGTTGCAGGGGAGACTTACAGTTCTTACTAACTGTTCCCTTCTTAGTGTTCACCAAGGACTTACTTTATAACTGAATTTGTATCTCAAATCTCCCAATAATAACAGTACCTATTACAATTTATTAAATGCCCACTTTGTCTGTGGACCTTAAATGATACTGTTATAAGACAGCTCTATGAGTTAGGTGGTATAACACTTGCTTTTGACAGTAGGAAACAGTCTTCTAGAATTTAAGCATCCTGTTCAAGATATATCTTGGGAGTAACAGAGGGGATATTTAAATCTTTTTTTTTTCTTCTGGTTTTGCAGTGTTAGACCAGTGATATCTTCCCTAATCTTCCTTTTTGACTTCTCTTTCACATTTGGCACTTAGCGGTATTGATTAGTGTTTTTAGTATGTGTTTGGGTGTTGTTTTTCTAAGATGTAATTTCTTTGGAAATGGTGGTTTGGGGATATCTGTAGTTTTCTAATCGTAGAGTCTCTTGGAGCAGAAGATATGGTTCTAGTAACTTAAGCTACCGCAGAGTTTCATTTTTGTGACGATCTATAGGAAAGAACCATACATGGGGTTATTAATATGTAGAAATCAGGTGTGTATTGTCTATTAATGTAAAGTGACTTTGGAGAGCCTCTGAACTAGTCAGGAAACATGGAATGAGACAGAAACGTGGAGATTGGTAAGTTTTAGAGACAGTGGAGACTGCTGTTAGCCATAATCTTTCCAGCTCCCTTCTCAAAGTTGAGATTTAGAAACTGTGAATATTTGGGTTTCTTTCTATTATGGGATGTAAGGAAGATGCATAGTGATTTGTTCTTTAACCATGTTAAGTGACTGGTTATATTCTCCCCTTCTTATCCCTGACAATCATCTTAGTTCTGAACATGAAGTATTTATGTATGTGGTAGTAAGACACATTTTGATAATTTTTTTACTAATGACTTATCACATAGTTATAATTTAATTTGATGAAAATCTGTAACTGTTATATCCAATGACTATACCATATCCACATTTTTTTTTAACAGCTTTTACTGTAATTAGGTAAAAATCTCATGATGGATGCCCTCTTTCTTAAACACAAATTTCTAATGTTTCTTTTCTTCAGTGAGTTGTCAGACTTTTAACTGTATTCAAATTTATTACATATATTTAGCTGATTAGGTGCTGAACTACTTTCATTAGCTGAAAAGAGTGGGGATAGAGAGTTTCTCTGCCATTATATTTTTCATCAGGATTGAGAAAACTCGTATGAAGTGCCAGGATGTGATGCCTGGCACATAGTGCAGGCAAGACTGCAAGAGAAGACTGTGCAAGTCTTCTCTTAAATGTAGAAGTTGCTGATGTATATGAGTTGTCAGAAGGTTGATTGGTGCGTAGAATCAGCAAAGACTCTTAGGGATAGCCTATTACAGGAGAATCTGTGAACTCGCCTCTCTTTAACCCACTGAGAAGATTGTTGTACTCTCCATTCATTTACTGTTTGATGTCCATGTTACATTAAAAGGCAGTAGACTACCCTCTAGTTTCTTGATTATACCAAACTACTGTATACCAAGGTATACAGTAACTGATGGGAATAAAAGGTAATGGCAGTTGTACATCTTGTTGTAATTACATAGTTTAATGAAACATTATTCAGTGAACTATGAAGACAAAAAGGTGTTTATCTTGAGACCCAGTGACTGCTTTGAAAAGCAGTTGAGTCATTGAGTAGTTGAAGTCAATTATAGTTAAAATAGTTTTAGGTGAAATAACTTAAATGATTGGGAGGAAAACCTTAAAGATCTTAGATTTCACAATAAGATTCTTCAGTAAAATTGCTTTTAAGAGTTGTGAGATGTCTTTCCATGTTTAAGAGACAGAAGCTGGAAATCACAGGTGATGTACTATGGGTGTGGTTTTTGCAAGAAAAATAAAGTAGGACTACAATCTGTAGACTTATGCTTGAAAGAAAGGCCTTGGCAACCTGCATTAAAAGACGTCTTGTGGTTGTTTTAGTGTTGGTGGCATTAAACTGTTTAAAGTATGTAGATTTTTTATGATTCCCCTTGTTAAAGTCATTTATGAACTGTTGGTTAACAATAATATATAAAGAGGTATCTACTTCTGAAATAATACCTCTTT